AAACAAGGTGAGTCAAAGTATCTTGCTCTCATAAATGATGTAATATGCCAGGGAGATATGTATACTGTAGCTAAGAAAGTAATACTAAGTGTATGTTGTGTAGTAAGCTGTTAGTAGCCCATGTGCCTCACCCTATTAATTTGGTCTATTTTCCGCTCTTAATTTAGCTTACTATTCTGACTTGGTGGTGCACATGTAGCCTATAACCTGTTTTAGAGAAATGTAATCATTGAATATTGTAATTAAGTGCTTTCATTGTCTGCTTATGTGCCCCCTTTATACAGTTGAAGTCAGAAGTTTACAGACACTTAGGTTGGAGTCCTTAAAATTCGTTTTTCAACCACTCCACAAATGTCTTGTTAACAAACTATAGTTTTGGCAAGTCGGTTAGGACATCTACTTTGTGCATGACACAAGTAATTTTTTCAACAATTGTTTACAGACAGATTATTTCACTTATAATTCACTGTATCACAATTCCAGTGGGTCAGAAGTTTACAAACACTAAGTTGACTGTGCCTTTAAACAGCTTGGTAAAAATTCCAGAAAATGATGTCATGGCTTTAGAACCTTCTGATAGGCTAATTGACATCATTTGAGTCAATTGGAGGTGTACCTGTGGATGTATTTCAAGACCTACCTTCAAACTCAGTGCCTCTTTGCTTGACATCAAAAGAAATCAGCCAAGACATCAGAAAAAAATTGTAGACCTCCACAAGTCTGGTTCATCCTTGGGAGCAATTTCCAAATGCCTGAAGGTACCACGTTCATCTGTAAAACAAGTAGACGCAAGTATGAACACCATGGGACCACGCAGCCGTCATACCGCTCAGGAAGGAGACGCATTCTGTCTCCTAGAGATGAACGTACTTTGTTGTGAAAAGTGCAAATCAATCCCAAAAACAACAGCAAAGGACCTTGTGAAGATGCTGGAGGAAAAGGTAAAAATATCTATATCCACAGTAAAACGAGTCCTATATCGACATAACCTGAAAGGCCTCTCAGCAAGGAAGAAGCCACTGCTCCAAAACCGCCATAAAAAAGCCAGACTACGGTTTGCAACTGCACATGGGGACAAAAAATCTTACTTTTTGGAGAGATGCCCTTTGGTCGATTAAAAAAAAAATAACTTTTTGGCCAAAAATAACCATCGTTTGTTTTGGGGGAAAGGGGGGGGGGCGTTGAAGCCGAAGAACACCATCCCCCGTGAAGCACGGGGGTGGAGCATATTTGGGGGTTTGTTTTTCGCAGGGGGAAAAGGGGTGCACTTAAAAATAGGGGCCAGGGGAAGGAAAATTTGGAAAATTTTTGAAAAACACCCTTAAATTTTCAGAGGAAGGGGTACCTTTTCCGCAAATGTTTCAAATAAAAAAGGGGACCCCAGGCAACTCCAAGGGCCATTTCTCCCAAGTAAATTTTTTGGGGGGCCCAAAAACCCCCAAAAAAAGCCAGCCCTTTTCAATCCGGGGGGAAAAATTTTTTTGGGAGAAAGGGGAAAAAATGAACTTTTAAACTCGTTTTTTGGAAAAAAAGGGGCCTTTTACCCAAAAACCCCCCTTTGACCGGGGGTTAAACCGGGGGGGGTTTCTTTTCAGGGGGGATGGGGCCCAAAAAATTTCCATAATGGGAAGGTTGTGGAAGGAAACCCGAAAGTCGGAAGTTAAACTTTAAAGGGTCTTCCAAAACAATGAAAAGAAACTTCCAAAAGTTGGGGAAAAATTAAAAAAACGTAAATATTATCCTCACAAAACCCTGCCCACCTTAAAATGGGGGGGAAAAAAACTGCCGGAAAAAGCCAAATTTTTCCCCGGGGCGGAAGGAAAAAGGAAAATTCCCCAAATTTTTTGGGAAGGGGAAGGTAAACTTTTTCCGGAAACTTTTAAAACTGTAAAATCATTGGTATAAAACTTGCCCAGGGGAGGGAAAAAAAAAAAAGCTAAAAACTTCTTTCTTTTTTCTGTTTCCCTTCTTAAAAAAAGTGGCCCAAAAACCCAAAAGGGGTTTTATGGATTCGGTTGAAAAACTGGAAAAATTATTTTAATAAAATTCGATTCCGTTTATCCCGCTTTGTGGGGGCCTTTTTTGCTATTTTTGTACATTTCAAAAGGTGAAAAATTTTTATTAAAGCCCGCCTATCGCTTATTTTTTTTAACAAAATTTAGGATTCCCTTTTTCCCGCTTTCCAACCAAGGCCCTCCCAAAAAACCAAATTTGTTTTTAAGGTGTTACTTGTTTTTTTTGGCAGTAAAGAGGCTAAAGTTTTGGGCAAGGCCCCCGGTAAGTTCTTTTGGGGGGGGTTTTGTTTGGTGTGGGATCGGGGGAAAGTTATGTGGTTTTTTGGGGGGCAATTTTTCCCACATTTTTTTGTTTTTGTTTTTGGTTTTTTTGTTTGTTTTTTTTTTTTTGGCCCCCCCCGTTTTCTGCAAAAATCGTCAGTTCCTTCAACCAAAAAAGATCCCTTAACCAAAGGGGACCCTTTAAAAACCCCCCCCCCCCTTTTTGGAAAAGGGGTTTTGCCAAACCCACCTTTTTTTTTAGGGGATTCTGATTGGCCGGGGCCTTTTTTCTAACTTTTTCTAAACGCCCATTTTTTGAAAAAGGCCAAAATGATCGTGAAGTGAAAAAGAATGGGGACTTTGTAAACGGTCAAAGAATTACAGTTTTTTCAGTTCATTTTATTTTTATTTTATTTTTGGAGTGATTACCAAAAAGGTATTGTTCGATTTGTGATTACAAATTTGGGAGATTAATTGTGTAAGTACGCCCCTGGGTTTGGTTTGTTTCGGAGGGGGTCAGCTTTTCAGTCTGCTTTGTACCGGTAGGAGGGGTTTTTTGGTGTTCATTTCGGCGTGATAAAAACTTGTTTTCCCTGTTAAAAACAAAACGTTTCAGTGCAAAGTAACTTGTATTTTAATATATGAGAGTGTCGTACATTTAATAAGGTGTCGTGAATTTAGCTGTTTTTGAGAGTTTAGAAATTGCTAATTTAGCTAACCTCGTTTTTTTTTTAGCGAAAGTTAGCAAATCATTCTATTCTTGTATGAAGCCACTTTGTTTTTTTTATGTTGGCGGTTTTTGGGCGGGGTAGGTTTTGAACTTTTTTCTCTCTTTGATTTTAAAAACAGATTGAGAGATTTTAACAAAAAAGTGCTTAAAGTACGCCAGGTCTTTCTTCAGTACAACACAACGCAGTAGTCGGCAACAAAAACGGACCGCGGGCTACTTTGGTCCCTTTTCCGATATCTTCGCTTAAATCATCCCGGGGTGTCGCGGTGGTTGCTGTGACGAGTGGAAAACCTCTTCGGAACGTTGACAAGTAAAAAGGTAACATTAATGTGTAAATTTAGCTCTTATTGTTTCCCTCAGTTATTTCTATATTTTAAAATTTTTTTATATTCACGTTCGGGGTGATTCACAAATTACCATAGTCTATTGCAATTTTCTTTTTTAAAAAAAAAAAAGGGCTGAATGGAAAGGTGCGCAAAACCCCATTTAGTTTGGAGATGCTGGGGGGGTAAGCCTGGGGAGGGGCAGGTTTATGAGTATGGTGGAAGCCCCGGGTTAGGGATGGGGGGTTTATAGGAAACCCTGACTCTGCCACCGCTTACGCATGTAAATATTCCCCGCCCACACATGGTAGCTTGGGGAATTCCCCAACATTGCAACACGTTAGTTCAGGGGGCTGTCCGCATTTTCATCACTCACCCCCAAACAGATGAAAACTTCTCCCGTCAGCCGTGTCATTCACAGTGAGTTCGAAACCCTGGGGAGTCTCATCAAAAAGTTACTCTGAAATAAGAAAAATTTGCTAGCCAATTCAGAGTTTGGGTTGGTAGTGAAAAACCCAAAAACCTCCTAGCCTCCTGAATTAGGAAGGGACAGTTGATTTGAACAAAAAAAGGGGGAAGAAAGTTAGTCATGAAGACAGATTCAAAGAGCCCCCGTCTTCAGGGGTAGGGAACAGACAAAACACAGTGCATGAGTGGGAAGATATGAGCGTTTCCCTGAAAAAGGGGGGGTGTACACCCGAAAGAGCATCCAGGAGATAAGGCAAACAAAGGGGAAAAGGGCTAGAGAATTTTAAGTTCCCCCTGCGCAGTACCCACGCTGCAGCCAGCTGAAAACTCCAGCTCTCTTTGATTTGAAAAACCTTTCAGTGATTTTAAACCTACTCTCTTGCCTTTAGCAGATTTTTTATAACCCATTCCCTGGCGGGAGAAAGCCCCATGGATATTGGATACGCTTGAAAAAGGGTGTGGATGCGAGATGAGGTTGGAAGGCGGGGCGAAACTTTGAGGCCCCTTCACAAAAGTCAAAATGATCTGGTGAAACATGCCCCGCCCCCCTCTTCAAGTGCCCAAAAGTGTAAAACATAAAAAGTGGCAGAAAATGAGATTATGAACACCTCGTTGAACTCGAGAGAGGTAGAACAATGTTAAAGCCAAATCTATGGCCCCAAAAAAAATT